TGAAGAAGTGAACTGGTTGACAAAGAAACTTACTTTTCACTGTACATGGTTTTGAATTTTGTACCAAGTTTATGTAATACCATTGCCCCAACCTCCCCTTCTCCCTGCCCCCCCCAAAAAACCCCACAAAAAACCCTTACACAATCTGATTATAATCATAAAGGAAATACCTGTGTTTAGAACAAGCTAATAGTTTTCCTGATGAGTTCCCATACTATGGTTAAAAGCACTGGACAGCACATCTAGTTTCACACATTATCAAGAATAATATAATTATCTTCAACTGCAATGAGGAGCCATACAGTCATATGTATTGTTAAACCATGAAATTAAGACCGAATCAGATGAAGGACAGCTTTTTGTCACTAACTTTCCAATACTACATCTCAAATACTCTACTATAATAAAGGCCAGAACGTATGTTAATGCTTCTGCCTAAAAATGAGCTCATAAACTTCCTCCCTCTTCATTATTATAAACAATAAATATTTGTCTTGGAATTTAAGCCTTTGATCATTAAAACAATCTTATTTTTTTCTTAGAAGTAACAGTTTTGTTTATTTGCAAGCCAACATTTTATAAGGGTAACACAAACAGATCTAAAGCATGACAGGCTATGTTCTGCTTAGAACTCCTCTTTCAGGTTGTTTCCTTCTGCAGGACTAAACGATATGAGATTATTTTATTTCAATTTCAACCAGTATCTGTCTAAAAGGATTTAGAGTTGGCTGTTTTGGGTAACTGAAAAATTCTTCATTAAATCTAAATTCCTGGAGTTCGACATTTGTGCTTTCTCCCTTCATTCTGCACTGTTTACAACTGAATACATCTTAAACACTATAATTTTCGACCATAATTTATTACAAAGTCATTAGTAAAAAGAAACTAAGTGGTCGAAGTATGTAATCATTCCTGTCTCCGCCTCCACCCACCAAAAAGGAACCAACCAGGAAAATCGAAGGCTGGTTCAAGGTTACAGGACCTCTAAGTTACAGTGGAGTGGAAAAAAATCGTATTGGCTACGTTTAGTTTTGCAAGCACCAAAGGGCGGAGTCAAAGACCCCCTACCCCAAACTGGGAAAGGACATCGGGCCAGCGGGCACGCTGGAGGAACAGAAGAGGGCTCACCGCCGGGCCACGAACTCCCACAGCCCGGCAGCCTGCAACTCTTGGGCCGCAAAGTTAAAACTTTCCGAGAGCAACAACAGCAGCAGGCCGTAGGGGAGGAGACCGGAAGAACCCCAAGTTACCAGTTGTAGAGTCGCTTTATCAGCTGCGGCTAAAGTCGCTCGGCCGAGGATTCACCACCTCTCGCGAGGGTAGCGAGCCACCAACCCAGACCCGGCGTCTGGTACAGGCCGACGAGCCTCCCGCCCGGGGTGACGTGCGCAAAGCCCGAGTACCTCAAATGCCGATCTCAGGACACTCTGTCCCTTTAGAGACGCGGAAATGCATCCGGTCCGGCGCCGCCTCACCCCAAAATTCCTCGGTCCCTCCATTCCCCAAGCCCAGGCCGAAAGCTACCCCCGTCGCAGCACCCCTGTCATTACCTGACGTACGGCGCAGACCCCTGCGCCGAAGCCGGGCTTCCGGCCGCTGCCGTCGACTTTGGACGGCATCCCGAAACCACCTTTCTTAGAGCCCTCTGACCGGTCCGAGCTGCCATGATCATCTCACTGAAGCCGGTCGCCACCTCTGGGACCAGGCCCACGGCACCGCCCTCGGGCGGCCCGCCGAGCAGCCCGGCTCCAGTGCCTTCCAGCCAATCGGCGGGCCCCTTGAGCCGCCAGACACGCCCCCTCCTCCCACCCTGAAAGCGCAAAGCTGACGCAAGCTCCCACTGCTTGTAAGGCCTACTGTAAATGCTTTCGTCATCCTACCGGCCAATCAGGGAGCTCAGGGCCTCCCGGACACACCCCACTAGAGGCATGGCCGGCCTCTAGTTCCCGCTGCGCGCTCGGGGGCTTTATACATGAGACTCATGGTGACCGCACTCCCCACCTCCCGTGTTGGAACTCTTCCCCGGATTCGCCAACCGCCACCGTTCTCTTGGGTGCTGTTTGAGGTCGCGAGGCTCGGCACGCGAGCCCAACCCAGGGGTGGAAGGAAGCTCGAGGTTCTGGGCGTTAATTACGTAACTGTCCAAACCAGTGAGTGCTGAGCCGGACCGCCATCGCTACTGGCTGCGAAGTCTGGCGGTCGGACTCTTGCTGTTTAATGATTGTCTAACACGGGACCGGCTGTGCTTACCCCAGGAGATTGTTGCGAGGGTAACATAAGGTCATGTCCTTAGGGAAGAGACTCATTCAATTTGCCTTCTCTTGTGTGGCCAACATTGTAATTGGTGTTTGTGGATAGTGTGGGTTTCCCATAGTCCAGACAAACCAGACAGTTTTGCTTTAATTTACCCATTTCAGGAATCAAGTCATCAAATCCTGACATCCTTTTCTCCGTTTGTTCCCAGGTCCTTATTTAACCTTTGTACGTTTTCTGTAAACTGGATAGCAGTACCACGTACTGAATACAGTTTTGAGGAGTCAATGAGATGGTTGATTAAATATTGCCAACAAATATTGGGCACTTGTTATAGAAAAAAAAATAAAGCAGGGTAATGAGGTGGAGAGGGGTAAAGTAGGGTGCTATTCAGTACAGAGTGGTCAGGTGGGCCTCTGAGGAGGTGATACTGAACAAAGGCCTAAATGAAGTGAGGAATTTATGTATTTGGGGGGGAAAGTAACTTCTGGTGGAATACCAAGTGCAAAGGCCCCAAACAATTTTACCCCGTTTTATGAAGAACAAGGTATTTGAATCACAGTGGGTGAGGAGGAGAGAGGTAGGAAATGGGGTCAGAGGTAGTGAGGACTTTATCATAGTGCCTGGGAGGCCATGGTACTAACTTTGGATTTTATTCTAAGTGTGAAGGGAAGTCATGCAAGTTTAGAGGTCAGAATAGTGACTTGATCTAATTTACATTCACAGAAATATTCTAGCTGCTGTGTGTATGTATGATTATTTGGGGGGGTGATATAAATAATGATATAGGGAATTTGTTATTATTTTTCTATCTTGCTTTGTTCATTGCAGTCATGCTTTATGGAATGAGTTGAAATCACGAGCTACAAAGTTTGTCAAACACTTTTCAATATAACACAGGATGTACTTGTTGAATGAGGTGGTTCTGTAGCTGCATCCAAGCAATTCTGTATTAGATTAACTTCAAATACAGAATCCATGCTCTTCCTGACTTAAATATTTTCAGTAATGTTTTCCTTAAAACACATTTTTATCATATTACTCCCCTGCTCAAAAACCAGTTGTTACCAGTTGTCTAGAAAATACAATGCCACCTCCTACTAAGTTCTATTTCAAACTATTGGTATTGTTAACTAGATGGGCTGTAAAACATAATTTTTCAGTACAATACATGATATGCTTATGTACTTAATATAAGGCCTTTTATTAAATTTGCCAAACATTTTCTCACTCAACTCTTCCAAGACATATGAATTAGAGTTTCCCAATAAAAAACATTTTTTAAAGCAAATAAAAGAATCTTTGTAATAGATGACAGTACATGGTCCTCATCTGACTTCTCAGCAAAGGAAATATTGTCATAAGCTTAAAGGTGATAATAAACTCTGGTTCAGTTTCAGTAGATGACAGTGCTTTCATAAATTGGGGGTTAAAAGGTCTATCAACATAAAAAGATTGGTAGTAAATTAAAACTCAGCAGAGACCTGTGAGAGTCAGTCTCTTAGAGTCCAAACCATGGACTGTCAACTATGCTGTCAAAAATATATTTGACACAATACCACATATTAAATATTCTTGCCAAAATAAGTGAATCTGAATTTGGTCAATCTTATAGATAAGCCAGTTTATACAGGGGAATAGAAGAACAAGTTAAATGACACCAAAGGAAATTCAATCTGCCAAATAATATGGGAAATTTTATAGGACGAATGACCCATTTCTTCAACAAATGTCAAATACAGAAGGAGGAAAGATGGGGCACCTGGGTGGCTCAGCCGATTGTCTGACTCTTGATTTTGGTTCAGGTCATGGTCTTGAGGTCATGGGAAAAAGCCCCGCATTGGGCTATGGGCTGAGCATGGAGCCTGCTTAGGATTCTCTCTCTCCCTCTCTCTTTCTGTCCCTCCCTCCCCCCTGCTTGTGCTCTCTCTCTCAAAAAAAAAAAAAGGAGAAAGGAGGCAGTGGACTGTAGTAGATTCATTTTTTTAAAATAGGGAGAAGGGGAGGGGCAGAGGGAGAGAGAATCTTAAGCAGACTCCACTCCCAGTGCAGAGCCCCACATGGACTCACGACCCTGAGATCATGACCTGAGATGAAATCAAAAGTCTCAGAGGCTTAACAGATGGAGCTACTCAAGTGCCCCTATTTATTTTTCCTTTCAGTATTTTTGATATACAATGTTACATTAGTTTAGGTGTACAACAGTGATTGGATGAGTTTATACATTATGCTATGTTCACCATGAGTATAGCTACCATCCATACTGGTTAGATTTAAAAGATTTAAGAGACATTTTTTTGGATTTTGTTTTGAACAAATAAATATAAAAAGACATATACAAGACTAAGAAATTCAAGTGAAATCTCTACTTCAGTAAAGATTTATACTGAAGCTTTTATAAGTGAAATAAGATGTCTGTGATATGCTTTAAAATGATCCAATGGAGGGTGAAGAAATAGAGTGGATAAAACAAAATTGATCATTTGTTGACAATTATTGATCTGGATGATGGGTAAATGGCAAGTTTATAATAATATATCCTGTTTTAATGGATGTTTGAAATCTTTCTATATATATAATATTTAATATAAGGATGTTGTTAAACAGGGATTACAGAACCATGGTGACAAAAAGTGGATACTGATATAAGAAAGCAGTAGGTACCACTGCATGTCAAGGTTCTGGGTGTTAATTACATAACTGGTGGGTTTGATGATTTGCTGAGAAGACTCATGGGACTCCACCTATAGTTGTACTCACAGCTATAATTTATTACAGCAAAAGGATATAAAGCAAAATGAGTAAAGGGAAAAGGAGCATGTGGGATGTCTGGGGGAAGTGGGTGAAACTTCCAAGGGTCCTTTACCTGTGAAATAAAATCATACAGGACGTGCTTAATTCTTCTGACAATTCTGACCACGTGTGTGAAATGCTGCCAACCAGATAAGCTCATTAGAGACTCAGTGTCCAGGGTTTTTATTGGGGGCTGATCATATAAGAACAGCGAGTCTTAATCAGTTCTGGGTATAGTGAAAACTTACCTGAAATACAGGTCTCTAAATGCCAGCCAAAGGCCAACCTTATAAGCAAGTGTTTCAAAGAATAGCAGGCAGGCCTGACTTTTGTGCACACTCCCCTCCTGCTGAGGGAACAAGGAAGAATTCAGGGTTATCAGAACTTAGAAACAGTCCCAAAATGCTGGGACCCAGATCTCTGAGGGGAGGCCACTGCTTGGCTGGCGCTAGTGCCTAAGAAGCATAAAGGTGACACATCCCCTACTCCCAAGCCCCCCAGAGCTGGGTCCCAGGTATCTGAGGAGGAAGTGTGGGCTGATATTGGTGCATCTGAGGGGGTGCAATGAGGCCCTTTTGATCCAGTCCTTCACACACTAAGAACGTAGGAAACAGGTTTAAAAATAAGTAACTTGCACAAACTAGAAAGCAGCACAGCCAGCACATGAACACCCGTCTTCTGACCTTGCATCAGAACGCTGCTTTGTACTCTATGACTTCTTGAAAGATGAAGCAGCAACTTTGTGATACTAAAATATTAGAACTGTTTTTTAAAACAGCTCAATTAGAGTCAGTCAAAACTCAAAATTTGAGGTAGTGATTCAAACCAGAAATGTGAACAAGAGAAAAGAGGATAATTGACTAGCCAGGAAGGGCCGCAAAGGGTAACAATATAGTTTAGGGGCTCTTCTCAGCTTTCCAGATTCAGACATTTTTAGTTCAGGGCATTCGGAGTTTATCAAGAAAATGGGTCTTCCTAGTTACATAACCAGCCTCATCCAATCCTCGAATTCCCCTTTGGCAACTCCCTGCCACACACTGTGGCTTCTAGTCACAGAATGGCTCCTAGATTCTACAGACACCGTAGTGTTTGTGGCCTAAACGGTCCTCTTTTCCTAGAGGGTCCTCCTTTCTATTCCCGTCTTCCATCTCCTCTACTCCCTTTCATCTGGCTGCTTCCTCCTCCACCGTATGAAACTCATGAAATGTCCCCCCACCCAGAAAAATCTCAGCCTAGGCATTATATATAGCTATTGATAGCATGGTTTGATATTTCTGTACAGTCCTAAAATCCCACAAATATATTTAACTCTTCTAACCACTTTGTATTATAATTGTTTCTATGTCTTTCTCCCAGCATTGGACTATAAAGAAGCTGAAATACTAGGGTTTCTGTGGTATTTCTATAATATATGAAAACAGTAGGCAAAATATTTTACATTAGGATTACCATTTTAAAAATCTGAGACATATCGGGCGCCTGGGTGGCACAGTTGGTTGAGCGACTGCCTTCAGCTCAGGTCATGATCCTGGAGTCCCTGGGATCGAGTCCTGCATCGGGCTCCCTGCTTGGCGGGGAGTCTGCTTCTCCCTCTGACCTTCTTCCCTCTCGTGCTCTCTGTCTCTCATTCTCTCTTTCTCTCAAATAAATAAATAAAATCTTTAAAAAAAAATCTGAGACATATCAAAAAAAAGAAAGAAAAAAAATCTGAGATATGGTTTCAATTCACCTGTCTTCTCTTTTTGGTGTGCAGTGTTATTTCTTTAGTCAGTTTGCATATGTTATGAGTTTCAGATCTTTGAGCCCTTGTGTCCTCCACAAGTAGCACATTTTGTTGAGATTGCTCCTAAAGGTGCTTTTGTTACATTAGCAAATTGTACTGGGACCTGGGATGTGGTTGGTTTAGGCCAGGACACCTGCCCTCACTTGGAGCTGTCAGTTACTCTCTTGATACCTCACTTCATTTTCAATTAAGCATATTTCCTTCTTATATATTTTCCTTTTACTTTCGGGATTATTTTTCTTAACAGAAAAGAAAGAAACAAATGAATTGGAGAGTGCACTTTGTCTTCTGTTATATTGAGCCATCTACCTCAGGTAACAGAACTAGTTTCATTATTCTTGCTTCAAACAAAAGCCTTCATATTTTCCTTAGCATTTTGTCATAAGTGTCAGCTCATTGAGATTTTAGCCTTTCTCACACTATTTTTGTAGGTTTTTGCCACTTTAAAATTTCTTTTACTTTTTTTTCCACTCAAGAAAATCTCACACCCTTTTTATAAGTTATTAAGTTTACAACATGCTAAATATTTTACCCAAATGTGGGAAAACGGCCTGGAGGTGCAAAGCACAATAAAATAATTATATGAAAAGAAAAAGCCAAAAATAACCAGTCAAAACAAAGTTACTGTAGCTGGCAATACTTAAAATTGGTAATTTGTATTATTTATTTATTTTAAAAGATTTTTTAAAAAAATATTTATTTGGGAGAGAGAGCATGAGCGGGGAGGAGGGGCAGAGGGAGAGGGAGAAGCAGGCTCCTGGCTGAGCAGGGAGCCCGATGCGGGACTCAATCCCAGGACCCTGGGATCATGACCTGAGCCGAAGGCAGATGCTAATGGACTGAGCCACCCAGGCATCCCTGTAATTTGCATTTTTTAAAAAAGTTGCATAGCTTAGAAAAAGTTACATAGCTGCAAAGTGATTCATTACTGATTACTGTTTAGCAATTTTAAGTGGAAACAATTTATTTAATAGGTTGCAATTTAGTAGATAATCCTAGATTTAATTACTTATAAAATAATTATATAATTTGATTTACTCTTTGGACTGCATTCTGATATTGTTAAAGCTTTAAGAAATTAACATTTTAACTTTCTTATGTAGAAATCTATTTTCCATTCATGGGGAAAAAATAAAAACGAGATTATGGTCTACATTCAAAGAATGTTTTACTGCTTAATTGCATTTCTTGATTTCACATTTAGGACTTTATAAGAAGTAAATTATGTGGTTTTCAATTTAACAGGAGATGATTGCAGAAACATCATGTCAGGGAAAATAAAGAGATTTCAAATTAAAAAAATGAATCAAAACACAGCGAGTTTCACAGCTTTAGGGAACTTAATAATAAATGAACTTTTAAGTCAGTTAACATTGGCATCTGAATACAAAATATTTATTAGTATTACCTATACAGATGACTATCAGCGGATGTGCAGAATTTTCTAAATCTCCACGTCTTTAAAATGCATGTACTGGGCGCCTGGGTGGCTCAGTTGGTTAAGCGACTGCCTTCGGCTCAGGTCATGATCCTGGAGTCCCAGGATCGAGTCGCGCATTGGGCTCCCTGCTCAGCAGTGAGTCTGCTTCGCCCTCGGACCCTCCCCCCTCTCAAGCTCTCTCTATCTCATTCTCTCTCTCAAATAAATAAATAAAATCTTAAAAAAAAACCCTGCATGTTACTGAGTTCTCTATGATTGTCCATTTCTATATTACTGAATCTTAGAGAACTCAGGTTTCTGACTGAGTATGCCTTCATTTTTGTTGTTGTTTTTCTAGTAACAGATCTTCTTATCCTCTCCCTTTTTCAAGCATCTTCAAAAGACAAGAAAACCTATAAAAGAGGAATCTGGAAAAAGAAAAGAAAAAAAAGAGGAATCTGTTGTTTAATCTGAAGGGTGCTTAGGGCAAGATCTGTTTATCTCAAACCATCAGTGCAGGCTCAATGATATATAAACGAGATGGATATAGATAAGACAGTCATGCTATAATAATGCCCTGCTGCAGTTCTTCAAGGCATATTGCACATTCGCCAGCATCTTTACTCAGTACATCCTTAGATTAGCAGTTCATTATGAAAGGATATCTCAGGAACACCCAATAAGAAAGCAATGCACAGGGCAGGGTATGCGGGAAGGGGAATCAGAGCTTCCACGCTCTCTGAGCGTGCCACTCTCCCTAGGGGCCACATGTTTACCAACCCAGAGGTTTCTGATTCCTTCCTTTCTTTCTTTCTTCCTTCCTTCCTTCCTTCCTTCCTTTCTTTTTCTTTCTTTCTTTCTTTCTTTCTTTCTTTCCTTCTTTCTTTCTTTCTTTCTTTCTTTCTTTCTTTCCTCTTTTATGTAGGACTCCTTTCATCTTTTGGCCTTTTTGTTAAAGTCTAATTTTATCAGGAAGCTCCTTATTTATTCATTATAGCATCTTTATGCTTGAACTCCTTCTTTTTTGGAATAATCTAATTATTATAGTGTGTAATTTTTGCCAACACCCACCTTCTTAAACAGTCTTCTCTTTAAGAATCTCTGGTGTAATAATTAGAAAATATGTATACTGAATGTGCTTGTATATACATAACATTAATCAGTGAATACATAAAACACTCAACCTTTGAGCAATAAGACAGGTGAGGAAAGGTTTTTACTTTTCATTTAATATCTTTGGGGAGATACTTTGTAAAAATATTTTATTTATTTATTTGAGAGAGAGAGTGAGCAAGAGAGAGCACATGAGCAGGGGCAGAGGGAAAGGGAGAAGCAGACTCCCCTAATGAGCAGGGAGCCTGATGCAGGGCTCCATCTCAGGACCCCGCGATCATGACCTAAGCCACAGGCAGCTGCTTAACCAACTGAGCCACCCGCGTGCCCCTAGTTTTTTTTTTTTTTTTAAGATTTTGTTTACTCATTTGACAGCATGAGCAGGGAAGAGGGGCAGATGGAGAGAAAGGGGGAGAAACAGGTTCCCCACTGAGCACAGAGCCCAAATTGAGACCTGATCCCAGGACCCTGGGATCATGACCTGAGCCGAAGTCAGATTCGTAACTCACTGAGCCACCCAGGTGCCCCTGGGAGTGTGTGTGTGGGGGGATACTTTTGAATAATTTGTAACATACTTTTTTTGGAAACAAAACTAAATTACCAATGACATTGGATTTGTCAACAGTTTGTTGAATAGGACACCAAATGCACAAACAACAAAAGAAAAAAAATGGACTTCATCAAAATTAAAAAGTTTGTGCATCAAAGGATACTGTCAACCAAGTAAGAAGTCAACCCTTAGTGGATTAGAAAAACTCCCGTGTGTATCCTTTACTACTCACACAAAACACTTCACTTCTGGTTACCAAATGTATGAAAGTTTTTCCCACACCAAGTAATTCTGGGCAATACCAGCTAGGTGTTATTACCATTTAGCTCAATTCCTACACTATCTCTACCTGGAGATAGTATCAGATCCCACAGGTTAAGGGCTTAGTCCCACAAAACTGTTCCCATCGCATTTCAGATGCCAATTGCAAGTAGTACATCCCCGGGTTACCCACAACTTAT